AATAAACATGAATAACTCAACGTCTTTAATATAACATTGTTAAATCATAATTCTGAAAGCACAGCAATAATTACTAGCAAATAAACATGTATAACTTAATGTCTTAAATATACTGTTAAATCGTAACTATTTACATAAGATGAATCATTTGCCTTTTTAAAGTTTTTACACATACACAGTAAATAGATAAACTTCCTGAGGCTCACTGAACTGCTGGATATTGAAGAGAAATTCACTCCAACGCTTCTTTAAAAGCTGGAGAAGTCTTCTGCCTTTCTCTTGCTAATTGTAAAGTTAGGATAGACTAGGGCAAGAACACACAGCACATGGCCATGGCTTTGATGACTTCAGGCAACCATTAAGTTCTCAGCACACCCAATTTCTTTAACCTATGAAGTGGGGAAGAGTCCACCTTCACCATTACCCACAGAATCATCTTATACTCTAGAAGGAAAAACTATCATCTTCATTCGTATGCACCATAGGTACGTCTGTATTTCAATGCTCCCCCTCAGAGTCCATTGTAATGGTACTGTGGCCAGGATGAGATGAAGCAATAACGTAAAAAGAACTGATATATTTACTAGAAGTCACTTCACAACCCAGTTTCACCAAAATTATGATTTCCATTCACTCCTTAATTAACAGCTGAGTTTAAAACAAAACTGCCTGATTTGAGTTTTATTTTTTTCTATGTTCTTGATCTCATCTTGAGGAAAATGCTCCACTCATTAGTGGCCCCAAAAAGAAACAGTAACGAGTAACCCAACTTCACCCAAGAAGATCACCAAAGAAATCATTCGAATATTGTGGGGACCATTTTAACATATAAGCATTCTAAGATTATTTGCCAAGAATGCAATTAAAGAATAAAATAAATATCTCCTCATCTGCTACCAGAAATGAAAACAACTGGAAGCAGAAGAGTTTAAAAAATGTGGGACTCAAAGAAACTTCTGCTATTAACTTCACTTGCTCAGGAGCTGTCTATTGCGCTAAAATTAAACAGATCAATAGCTTTTCAGTGATGACGCAAATGAGGCACACAGCCACGCAAGTACATTCACCATGAAATAGACAAAATCAACGTTTCCGTTTATGTGTTGTTGTCTTTTTAATTTTTTTTTCTCTATTGATTTGAGAGGGAGAGGAAGGGAGAAGGAAAGAGAGAGAGAAACATCGATGAGAGAGAGAGAGAAACATCAATGAGAGAGAACACTGACTGGTCGCCTCCTGCATGCCCCACACTGGGGATCGGGCCCACAACCTGGGCATGTGCCCTGACTGGGAATCGAATCAGCGACCTCCTGGTGCATGGGTTGATGCTCAACTACTGAGCCACACCGGCCAGGCCCGTTTATGTTTTGAGATGGTTTATCTAGCAACAATTTTAGGGTATGGTCAAGTAAGAGAAAAATGTAAATTTTAGTTTTCTCATGTACACATTTTATGGGCAACATTAGTTTTAGGAACAAAGGCCAACAATACTATATTCTGGATATGGCAAGAAACACAGAAGAAAGTAAAAAAATAAATTAAAAAAATCAGGTGTCACTTTTTCTATGAAGCACATTATATCCCTTTACATATGACATCAAATTCAATACAGTTTTATGAAGCTGAGCAAACACTGTCCCTATGTCTGACTATCAGTATATACGCACAGTTAATTCCAAGAAGACATTTTCACCTTACTCACACTGCCTTGTGAATTCTCTTTCCCCCCTCTGCCAGTCACATCTGCAGCCCAAGCATTTCTTTCCAGAGGAAGAATTAAGGCCAAGCAAGACAAAGAATTTGCTGATACACATATGTCACTCCAAGAATTTTCCTGACAAAGTCTCCACACCCCATTTAATTACTTCCCTACTGTAAAAACACTTTCCATCTGTATTCATTCTAATCTTTTCAAATCCAAAACCAACATACTATAAAGCTAAATGAGTGACATTAGCTTTAGGTTCCAAGTGAGGCAGCATTTTATAAGGCAGTGGGTCTCTAGCTCGCATGCATTTTGTGCTGATACAGTGTTTCATTTGGAGCTCAGTTCTTTACTTTACATTTGTTTAGAATAGGATTATTTAGCCCTAGGCTTTTAAATCTCGACCTGAATCTCTCTCTCTCTCCCTCCCTCTCTCCCACTTGCACACACATATGCATGGGAGGGAGGGGGTTGGGGAGAGAGAGAAAATATCTGGATGTTTGTGGGTTTTAATGACCAAAAAAGAATGCAGCCATATATATATATTAAATGCCCTGTAGAGTCCATCACAAAGGCATTTTGGTGTGGGGTGGTATTTTTTTTTCATAGGTTTTAAAAACTGAACCTTAGTACATGCATACAATAAATACTGTTTTGGGCATTTCTTGATTCGTGGATTATTCAGTAAGTTATTGCATGCTTTTTGTGTAGAATGAATGTTTTTCAGCATATTTTTATTCTCTTCTTGATATTCCATCATTGCATTAATTAAGTGCTAGTTTTGGCACTCCAATACCTAATACCTGTGAATAAACAGAGAATCCAAGAATAGTCACATCTTTATATTACAGACACGATTAGGTTGTGCAGACTGTCCCTTGCACCAGAAGTCAGGAGAGGAAACCAGCCACTATCAAAATGTCTGGGCAACCTCAGCCAATAAATGATTCTAGGTCATCTTGAAGGTCTTTCCATCTTGAATTTTAATAAGTAAGGATTATTTTGTTTGTTTGTTTTTGATATCACATAATATTAGTCTTTAGAAATTGATTTGTCTAATTTTACCCCTTTATTTATTTTTTAATCCTCACTCAAGGATATTTTCCCATTGATTTTCAGATAGAGTGGGAAGGAGGTAGAAAGAGAGAGAGAGCAAGAAACATCAATGTGAGAGATACACATCAATTGGCTGCCTCCCGCATGACCATGCTCTTGATTGAAATTGAACCCACAACTGTTTGGTTCATGGGCTGATGCTCTAACTGCTGAGCCAAACCAGCCAGGGCTAATTTTACCCCTTTATATTACTAATTAGAAAAATTTTAGAAGCAGCTAATCTATGGCAACCAACTACTGGTTTCTAGGAAGTCAAGGTACTTTTCAACTAGTATATATCATATAATATGTTAAATATTAATACAACACATTAAATATATAATATATATTACAAAAATCACAAAATACATTTTAGGTAGTAGTCTTTTTAAAATAGCCATTTTTTGCCTTAAAATTAAAATTATACTTTTAAAGTCCTATAACCTGGGATTTGCTAGATACAAGAGAATGATGTAATTCTAGATTTAAATACACTAAGCTCTAAACTCTGTTTCTTCTCTAACTTATTGATATAAATTGTGAACACAATCAGTGTGGTGGCTTTCTGCTCGTTTAATTTATTTAAGCATAACATTATCTGTCCAAGAATTTTGAGTGGCTTGAAGAGTAAAAAAATTTGATATGAAATATTAATAGTAAGTCTGGTGATACTGTTCTGATTTTCATAGTAACTCTCAAGACCAGTGGCTTGCAAAAATTGTCTAACTACTTGTAAATAACAAGTCATAGGTAAGTCAGAGAGGTCGGTGAAATGCTTAGGGAGAAAATCCTCCCAAGAAATAGAGGTTGGGCCTTTCCCTTTTCTCCAGGCATCTTGGAATTACTTTTGTAGGAAAACATATAATGCTTCCTCCATTTCTTACTGCTCCAATAAGCTAACCCTATATGCTTCTCTTTAGTTACCTAATTCTAAAGAAAAAAGATCAAATGTCAAAAATTTTATAGCAGATTATTTATTCTTAATGACCCAAAAGAAAAGACCATATGCAATCATTTTAATATGAAATGTATAAGAATTAATTATAGAAATACCATACTGCATAAAGCAAAGGAAAGGTCACTCAAACTGTAAATGGACTGTACAAATACGTACTGGCTGTCCAAAAAGAATATATGGCAGTTATTAACACTCTACCTAGAGCCACACTGTTTTATTATACCAAGAAAATCACTACATACATCATATGTTGGAGCAAGTAGGATAAAATAAACAGACCTATCTCATCATTAAATATAAATTTCCTAATGCAACAGGTTACGGTATATCATTAATATCATATTAAGGACATGTGTTTATTATGGCAATGGTATTTACAATATTGTCACTAATCCATTTAAAATCGAGGCCCTGGATCTTGAAATGAAAATGTGGAGGCTTGAAAACATCTGTTGTGCATGTAGTGGCCTGACCACTTTAATTCATTATTTATACAGGCTCTAAATAACCAAAAAGAGAATGTCAAATTAATTTTGATCTTTCCGATTTGACAGCATTCATGAAATCCAGTAATGTTTGATTGAAAAGAAAAAGAAGCCCTGGCCGGTTTGGCTCAGCAGTTAGAGCGTCGGCCTGCAGTCCAGAGAGACCCGGGTTCGGTTCCCGCTAAGGGCACGTACCTCGGTTGCAGTTTGTCCCCGGCCCTGGTTGGTTGTGTGGGTGGCAGCCACTTGAAGTGTCCCTTTCATGTCGATGTTTCTCTCTCTCTCTCTCTCTCTCTCTCTCTCTCTCTCTTTCTCTTCCTCTCTCTCCCTCCCACTCTATCTGAATGAAAAATGGAGAAGTGTCCTCGGGTGAGGATAAGAAAAAAAAAAGAAATATTTTAGTTTTTTTTTAAACATAGATTTATAAATTAGTTTGTGGTAAAATTTCAGATGTGAATACGAGAAGATTAACAAGAAAAATGAAGGTAAATGTAAAATAAGGAATGCTAAGGAAAGATATGCTCAAGTATTTCTAGAGATGTTTTTGCTATTATTTAAAGTTGACTTTGATCATTGTCCTTTTAAATTATTATTATGATTAAATGGCACCCTAGACAATATAATACACAATTTCCATACAGATAAGTTCTTAAAGAAACTCGATATTTCACATCACAGTTCTATCTGGAACAGAACATCTTACTAAATTCTCTAAAATTGCAATTTTTCTTAGTAATCCTTGGCCTCTAGTTTACTGTACCTGGAATTCTGAGGTTCTGAAACATCTGATTCTGTGCACGTTTTCTTTACCTGTAAGAAAAGAGTACTAGTTATTCTCATATGAAAATACAACTTCCTCATTCAGGTTCACACACTTGTTAAAGTGGATACAGCTCTGCTCACCAAGATCTCTATAAAATACTCTCCACATTTTACAGCGGCAGCATGCAGTACTAAATAGTGTATTTCATTATTTTCCCATGAACAGCTGCCAAAGGCACTTCCCTAGACTCCATTAGTATATAAAATGTTCAGCTAAAATAGCTCGGGACTAGCTCAACGAGGAACAAAGAAACCAAAGAACCAGGTTTCCCACTTAGGAACTAGAAAGCCATACTGTTCTCAGTTCACTAAGAAATGTTTTTTCAATCGATACTGCTTCTGTCTCCTACTAAAGCACACAATAATAAACACCAGGTTCTGGGGGCAAAGCACAGTGTTAGCTAAAACATTCATGTGTTCATTTTCATTTTCTCCATCCAGGGGCTGTATGTTTTATATATTTCTCAGCATATTAATTAAGTTTCAGCATTGCTCACAGACTTCTCACATATATTTGCAGTATATTTTGCAGACTATATTTCAATGTTGTGGTTTTTAACCCACAAAAGGCAAAGAATGAAAATAACCTTTACTTCGAAGACGTGCTATCCATTGCTGGACAATAGTGTGCAATACATTCTCTAAAGTAAGGTAAAGCACAAATCCATTGCTTTTCACAATTTAACTGCCAGCCCAGATACTTATGTTTGATTATTAGGGTCTTAATGGTTTCTTATGTGCAATATAGACTCAAATATCCCTTATTTATCCCTCAAATATTTCAAATATCCCTTAGTTAATATGAAGCATTAACAACATACATTACCAAGTCTACTGCCGTATACTCTGGGTGTCTGTATTCCCATGGTGTATCCATGTAACCTACAGAATCCAAGGCATTTTAAATGCTGGTGCATAGCTTGGAAGTGATAGATAAGTCTACTGAGAGATACACCATAAGTATGAACTGTAGGACAAGTGGCATCACTTCAGAGTAAATTAAAAAATTTTTTTTTTCTTTATTGATTTTAGAGGGAGAGGGAGAGATAGAAACATCAATGGAGAGAACACTGACTGGTCGCCTCCTGCATGTTCCACACTGGGGATTGGGCCCACAACCTGGGCATGTGCCCTGACTGGGAATTGAATCAGCGACCTCCTGGTGCATGGGTTGATGCTCAACCAGTGAGCCACACCAGCCTGGTAAGAGTACATTTTTAATTTTAAAGATACATCATTATCTTTCTAGCACACTAATAATTCTTTTTACTTCTGGCTCAGAAGACTGCTTAAAAACAAATGCACAGAAAACCCCTACACTTTTTAAAAATCTGTCCTTTGCTATCAATTTTAAGTCCAAACATTTTTATAATCTGGAAAAGCAATCATTTGCCTGATTAACTGTACTGTCTTTTATATCCTGTGTATACATTTACATAATATGAAAATAAAACTGATTAGCAAAGGGATGATCCTATTTGTAACATTTTCTATACTCTGAACATGGAATTTAGCACGAGATGGAAGGGTGAAGAAATGTTTCCAAGAGTAATTAGTTAAAAAAATACTTTTCTTAAAATGTCAACATAGAATTCACTACAAAACCCACAAAAGTCTTATGTTCATTAAAATTTGTCCAAGAAAAATAAAAACTGAAAGGGAAGGATACCAGAATCAAACCCTTCTTTCTCACTGGTTCTTTCCTATGATTCATCATCAGAAACTACATGAACTGCCTAATGAATACACATAAATCATCCCAGAGTGAATGCCACTCTCCTCAAGACTATGATGACTTGACTTGGAGACTAACTGAAGGAGCTCCACACTACATATGCAAACTAGACATGTACTCCAAGCAAAAGTCGGAACATACACAAGCTTCCTACGGTTCGAAAAACAAAGAACATTTTTTCCATTAATACCCATGGCTACATAAAGCATCACTCCCTAAATAATTACCAGAAAGTTCTGATTATTTTCATTTTCTCTCAAAGTCGTAACTGTAATAGCAGAGGACACATCTATTGTTACTTACTATTTAGTACCCAGAGTCCTAGATCCATAGCTAAGAAATAAATGATAAAAGATTGAAATACAAATATTCTCTTAGACATTGTAAGAACTATGCATTATTCAGAATGATTCTTTTTTAGGAGTTTAATTCATTCATTCATGGACAAATGAGGAAAGAATAGTATTTAAGATACCATGACTACTGTAGGCGAGGTCCATGCAGTGTTGTGGGTGTTCAGAGGACAATCTACCGCAGCAAAGGACGATGGGATGGCATTGAAGGGAGTGACTTCTAAAGCAAGTCATAAAGATACAGCCCTCATAGAAAGGCAGGTATTTCAACATTACGGGGTTTGCCAGAGGAACCATATTATGAAGACCTTATAAATGGTAAAGAATCTGGAAAATACTCTTGGTCCAATGAAAACTACTTGAGGGTTTTAAAAAACAGACTGAGTAGAGATGGTATAGTAGATAGTGTGGAAGGAGGACAAGGCGAGAGCTGAAAGACAGAAAACAGCTTAAGGCAACAGGAGAGAAAGTATAAGTTCCATGAAAGCAGAGATGGTATTGATCTTGTACCTTGCTACATCCCTAAACTTAAGTAGTGCTCCCTGCTATGGTCTAAATGTTTGTGCTGTCCCAGAATTCGTATGTTGAAATTCTATCCTTCAAAGATAAGGAAGCTGGACCTTTGGGAGGTGCTTTGATTATGAATGGGTAGCCTTTATGAATGGGATTAATGTTCTTACAAAAGAGACCCTAAGGGACTCCCTAGACCTTCTACCATTCAGGACACCAAGAGAAGCAGATGGCTATGACCAGAGAGGGGGTTCTCACCAGACACAACCATGCTTGTGTCTTGATCTTGAACTTTCCAAACTCCAGATTCATGAGAAATAAATTTCTGTTGTTTATAAACTACCAAGTTTATGGTATTTTGCTACAGCAACTCAAATGGACTAATAAAAATCCCCAAATATTAGTGTACTAAATGAATAATTCAATCTGTTGGTGAGAGATGGTAAAGACCTCAATTAAGACAGGAGCCATGAGGAGCGGAAAAGATGTTTTTGAAAGATATTTCTGACACAGAGTTGAAAGAATGTTGTTATTGATTGAGGCAAAGTATGAAGTAGAATATGATCTGACCTTTTAATTCATCCTTGAAAAAAAAAAATTTAGTAATACCAGAAACTGAAAAAAAAAAGTTAACTTATGACTTTAAAATACTTCAAAACCCTACCTTATTTCTGAATCGATGGAGAAAAGTTAAATGAATCATTAAGAAAGCTATATGTTTATAGTGTCTTGAACACGAAATTAGAAGCCAAATGGAAAGTTTTACCTAAATTTGAACACACCCTCCCATTTGAGAGATCAGTAACACTTCATTAAATGGTGACTGCTGAAACATATACGCTATTGAAGAAAGAATATTATTACAAAATATATAGAACCTTCTGTCTTCAATGACCACCAATTTAGTTTTGAACAAAGTTGAAACAAGCGGGCCAAGAAATGAGTCGAAATTCATGTCCACAATTTAAATCCAAATCCTAGTTTTCGTAAGACACACAAGGAGGTGGGCAAAAATATGGCAAGAGGGAAAGATGAATTGTGTTAAATGCATTTAAGTGGCTGCATTAATGTAAATTTTAACTCTACTTGATGTTATTAAAGTACATGCAACATCAAAGCAAGATGAAAAAGAATTAAAAGTTTAACTATTTTAAGATAGCATTCATGTATAATAAACATATAAATGTATCAAAATACTACATTTTAAAAACTGAATGAATGAATGAATGATGCCTAAATGAATAACACCTAAAATTCTTGAGTGTTTATTATATGCCGGACAGAATACTTATGTAGATACTATTAGTTTCCCCAATTCAGAGATGACAATGTTGAGAACCAGAAAAATTATTCTGCAAGCAATTTCTGTTGTAAACATCAAATCCACATTTATGAAGTTGTTTCAATCAGGATATGTTAAGAAACTAAAATTCATAAACATATCAGCTGAAATGTTTTGAATTAAGTGAAAAAGTCTTAATATTTAAAAGTTCAATTTTTATTGCACTATAATAATAATTACTGCCATTTGTTAGGCAATTATCCTTTTTCATTCACTGTGCTGGACTGTGTATATATGTGATCACATTTAAACCATGAAGACAGGTATGATAGATGAAATCTCTCATTTACAAATGAGAAAACGAAGGTCGGTGTCCCACGGCGAGCACCATCAGGGATGGCGGCGGAACTGTGTGCTGCACATCAAGCCTTCCTTTCTCTCATGCTCAATTTCCCTATTGCTTTTACTAATTGTTTTTCTTTAAACTAAGAGTTAAAACTAATGTTCCACAGAACACTTTTTAAAGAAGAACATACCAGTTACTTCTTGTAACATACCAACTTCTAAACGGATCTTTTAAATTGGACTACTGAAGAAACCTGTTTTTACCAAGCACTGGTAACATTTAAATTCCATGTAAAAAGAGTAAAATGTTTTGAAATATCTAAATCTCTCCAGCATCCACCATCCTAACAACTGAACAATGATCTAATGTGAAAAACAACTTCCATTTTGTTGTTTCATGTCTGAAATAGCAAGATCCACTCAGAGGGTTTACCGGATGCCTGGGGTATGTCAGAACCATCCTAGGAATGGAGAACGAGACCTGGCCAGTCCCACAGAACAGCACTGGCCACACCTGGCTACTGGGCCTTGAAAGGGAGCTGGTCTAAACTGAGATGTACTGTAAGTGCAAAAGGCACACAGGATTTCAAAGACTTAATATAACAAAGAATGTAAAATATCTCAGTATTTTTTTTTTTTTCCTCACCTGAGGACATTTTTGCATTCATCTTTTAGATAGAGTGAGAGGGAGAGAGGGTGGAAGAAAGAGAGAGAAACACCGAGGCGAGAGAGACACATTAACT